AAAATGTAAAGTTGCAATATTACCCTACAATAATCAAAATAATTAATAGGGCCTTTCCATAATTTTATTATCAATAAGTGTCCTACTATTAGAGACAATCATGCTTTCTTTAAATTGGACCCAACTCTTTTTAGTTGGTTCTTTTCATTTTATTCCTACCAAATCAATTTTAAGAAGTCAACACAATTGATTTACATTAAGTTAGATTTTTTTTTTTTCTGGGGGCAAAGATGCATTGATTCCCTTCAAATATTCTCTGAAAAATATCTAGCACCCTAAATTATTTATTAGAATAATTTTACCTTGAAAATAATTAAAATAAAATATTTTTGTCTTTTCCAGTAAATTTTCTAGTCGTCAACATTGGAGTCTCCTTTAATATTTCTAATAGTCAACATTAAAAATTTGATAGTAATGACAAAAATTCTCTATTTTAATTACTTTAAAAATAAAATTATTCTAATAAACAGTTTATGGAGTTAGACACTCTTCATAGAATACTTCATATGCAAAAAATATATCTTTACCCTTGTTTTCTTAACTCTTCAGACAATCAATATTTATTTAAATTTTTATTAAAAAAACCAATGTCATTTTGTTGCTTCCAAAGTTAAAAATAAAGTAAATTTTAAAGAGAATGTTCACGATTGGTTAGTTAGAATCAATTAGGTATTTTTATAGTTTTTAATTGGAGAATATTCTCCATATCACATTAGGAATATCCATTATCCAAGATTCATAAAAAAATTTACAAGACATGATATAAATTTTAAAAAAACATCTTTCAAAGAATAGATTAGTTTGAAATAATATAGTTTTGTTTCCGATGTATAAAAAAAAAAAAAAAACTGATATAGCTTTTCCTCTAAATCAAGAACAATGTATAAAGTGAATTACCATTTAAAAAAGTGGAGGAAAAGTAGGAGGGTATATTAGTAAATTAAACTAAATGCATGGTCTTGAGGCCCTACGTCATTTTTGAAAATTATTCCAAGTTGACGAGCAGACTATCATATTGGACCCAACCTTTTGTACTTCACCGTCACTCTTTCTCCTCTATTTGTTTTGTTTTTAACAAAAAATTTATATATTTAAAATGTTTATTTTTAATTAAATTAAGACATGTATATTATATACCCACCCATAAATGTACACACTTGTTTTTTTTTTTAAAAAGGCAATTTATTCAACAAGTAAAGCGTCCTCACACATTTATATTTATATAAATATATACATACACACATGGGCATTAAACACACACACACACACACAATGATGAGTATATTTTTAAAATAATGAAATTTAACTGAGCTAGTTATCAGGCAGAAATTAATTAAACCAGAGTAAGTTTGATTATTAAAAAAAGACTAACAAATGTATTTAAAATTACTTGCTATAAGGAATCTTATATTGGATGTGGAAGTTGAACTAAAATCAATCTTTTGTTTTTGATAGTAGAAACAAGCAATTAATTACCGTAGTCTAATTAAATATACCAATTTTATAAATAATTGTTCCATCTTATTTTTTTTTAATATAGTTCCAAGTATACATGCAGCAACATCTAAAATCCTAGATTCATTTTTACTGTAATATTTTTCTTCAATTTTTTAAAATGATGCAATATTATTCTTATCCCTAGAGGTGTTCACGGGACGGGATGAGACCGGGACACCCCAGTCCCGTGTCCCGTCCCGAAAAAAAGATCGAGACTGAATTTTGGTCCCGTGTCCCGTCCTGTCCCGAAAGTCGTCCCGCCCCGTTAAGAGTCGGAACGGGACCGAGACAAGATCGGGACGTCCCGTCGTCCCGATAAATGGAATAATGTCGAAAAAAGATATGGACAATAACGTTCATTAAAATTTTAAATCATAATAATTTGTTAAGTTTAAAATCAAAACAACACAAGCACATAAATAAAAAATAATTTAAAATTAGTTATTGAATTATATTAATCACAACTACATATTATAATAACAAATATAAGTGATCTTTATGTTATAAGATTAACAACAATAGGCAAGTCAAATACAATATCAAATCATTGTTCTTCTACTTTAATGAAGATGTACTAAGCTAATTACTCTTCTAAAAATAAGCAAGAAATATATTATAAATAAAAGTTATTAAATAGATAGATATAAGAATAAATTATATTAATATAATTAATATATTATAAAAAAGATATCACCATGTTTACTCCATGCCATTAAAATTATCAATATAAAAAAACTTTAGTTTTAAATAAGAATTGTAAGTATTAAAATTATAATTGAATAATTAATATAAGTATAAATTATATTAATATAATCAATATATTTAAAACAAAATAATATATATAATATTCGGGACGAGACGGGACGTCCCGATGGTAATCCCGTGTCCCGTCCCGTCCCGAACCCCTTTCCTGTCCCGTCCCGTAAAATCCCGTCCCGATTATTTTTGGACCGGGACAAGACCCGTCCCGATGATCAGGACGATACTGGGCCAGTCGGGACAGGTCCAGACTGAACACCCCTACTTACCCCTATTATTAACAAAAGTTAATTTTAATTATTTTGATCAAAAAATGATACCAAAAATTACAAAAAATGAATAAAAAACTACATAAAAGGACCAAAATTTACATACAAAGATAAAATCATTATAAATTATTGGTCAATGATAAAAAAACATTATAAATTATTGGTTATTTTTTATAGTTTTTAATTTTCTTTTCTGTCATTTGCTCATCAACTAATAATGATAGTTAACGGTAGATGTAACATTGAATCATTTTTAAAAATTTAAAAAATTATTATATTAAAAATAAATTTAGGTTTCAAACGCTCCTAAAACTTATGCAATTTATTATTTAACTTTTTTTAAAAAAGGTTAAAGTGTTCATTTGCATTGTATCTCTAGTCACTTATGCAAATGGCTGGGATTCAAATTATAATTGTTATATATGTAGAACTTAATTGAAAGATGTCAACCCCTTTACTTTTAGTACTTCGAGAAAGATAATATATGCTATTAGCTGGGTTTATTCTTTACTTAAAAAAAAAAAAAAGGTGCTGATTTGCCTCTCTCAACTTATTTTGAAACATATTGAGGTGGTGCAATGTGACCTTTATATATTAAAAACAAAACAATGTCATTCCTCTGTAATACATATTTTAATTTGATTGTTATTTAACTGAGAAAATTATAAAAATTCTCAAAATTACATAAAAAATCTTAAAAAATTATAAATAAGCACTCTATAAAAAATATTGATTAAGTATGCTAAATTACAAACAAATTTTATGAGATTAATGTTATTTGTTTAATCATGTAAAAGATCAAAATATCATTTTAATCAACTACTTTGTCTAACTATTGTGTTTTGGCAACAATATCAGTAAGTAATTAAAAAAATATTATATTTACTTTTTTATATTTTTTTAAACTATTAATATTTTAATATTTAATAATTTAACTATTATTTCTAGTTATAATTTCCTACACACACTTTACATGTCATGCAAATTCTTCAAAAATTTAATGACTAACTTAAGGTATTTATTTGCAATTTACTAGGATTTTTCAAGTTTTTCAATCAATTAGTATTCAAATTAATGGATGTTTAATGAAACCCTTAACTTGAATTGAAGGTGCTTAGTGTGTTTGGAAAAAAAATGAGTGAGAAATTAACATCTTAACCCTTTTCTATTGAAGAGAATATCTTCTCTTAATCTTAAAGTAACTATTATTTGAATCTAACGACAAAAAAAACTAACTTTCGTAGGAGAATTTCTTAAAATCATTATTTTTGGTAAAATCAAACAAAATAAAATTTACTTGTTGATAAAATAAATATAAATTTATATAATTGAACTGATATTTAACACACACCATTGCATGATCAAATAAATTTTAAAAAAAACTACACATAGAATAAATGTTATACTAGTATTATGATGCATCATAACACTTTTTCGTAAATATAAATTATCCGCTTTAAAAATAAACCCTTAAAAAAATATATAGTCAATAGTTTTCCATTTTATATGCTTGAAAGCTATTAGCTAAATAATTTTACTTTTAAAAAATAGTTGGTCCTTTTCACATTTAGTTTTGTCAGGTCTTTCGTTTCTAGATTGTATGGATTGAGAAAAGAAAAAAAAAAAAACCATTCTACTTAAATTGAGATCATCTTCGATTATTTACAGAATGAAAACCTCGTGGCGAAATTCATTGTTTGATTTTTCGTATACACTAACAAAACAAGGTCAAATAAATTGAATATGAATTAAACTTACACAAAAACACAACATCTAAGTAATTTTCTAAATAGCTATATTATATGCTTATGCTACTATTTTTTTCAAGGAAAAAACAACAAATTTAACAACAATGATTTTATTAAACATTTGATAAAAAATATTTAAAATTTAATTAAAAAATCAACTTAAATTATGATCTCTCAAGAATCAAGATTAGCTAGCAGGAACAAGAAAACTTGTCCGGGCCAAACCTATGATAAAACGTCGCCGTGATTAGCGTTTCTCACTGATTCGTTAATTATTGATGAAATTCATGCAATTCACAACATAACCTGATTATCTTCATTAATTGTGTCGTGATTGGAAGATATTTGTTCTTGAAAATATGAGATAGTGACTCCTGAAATGTTGCGAGTTGCGACTGGCCGCTCCCTTTGAAGAAGGAAATTATGGTAGTTGAAAGTTGAAACCGTGAGAGAAATGAACAGTAGCAACGGCTTTTTCAATTCAAAGTACGACATGTGCTTCTTCCTTTTTTTTAAAAAAAAAAATTCCTATATTATTTGCCCTATTGAGAGCGAAAGGCTACGTAGTACAGTGATTTTACCAATTTATTCAATTTCTCGTTCAGGATTTTCGTCGAACACTTGTCGGGTATTCAAAAAAATGCCTTCTTTATTGACCAAGGACCCCTCCTTATATCAACAACCACCCATAAAACCATGTCTCTGTCCCACAACCCACCATCTCTCTCTCTCTCTCTCATCCTAATGTTAATAATAAGCCCTTATAATTTGGCTCCTTTGTAAGAAGTAGCTTTCTTTGTGTTTTTATCAGCCTCCAAAGACCCATTTTTCTGTACTGTGTCTGTCCTCTGTTGCATCTCACAGACCCCGGGAATTTTGCTCGTCTTTGTTGGTATTCATCAGACTCCAAGGACCCATTTTTTCTGTACTTTGTGTTTCCTCTGTTGTTGTATCTCACAGACCCAAGGAAGACCAAATGGGGAACAGTTTAAGGGGTAACAAGACCACAAAGGTGATGAAAATTGATGGAGAGACAATGAAGCTGAAGACCCCAGTGAAAGCTGGGGATGTGCTGAAGAATTATCCAGGTCTTGTTTTGCTGGATTCTGAGGCAGTGAAGCATTATGGTGCTAGAGCAAAGCCTTTGGAAGCACACAAGAATTTGGAGCCAAAGAGGCTATATTTTCTCGTGGAGCTTCCTAAAGGGAAGGCTCCTCCTAGGAGAATCCGTTCTGGGATCAACATGAGTGCCAAAGATCGCCTTGAGAACTTAATGCTGGCTAGGAGGTCTGCTTCTGACCTTTCCATCATGAAGCAGGTTAGTGATACTATGGCCAAGGAGGGGTCTGAGAACGGTAAGATGAAGCTCAAGTTGAAGCTTCCAAAGGCAGAGGTTGAGAAGTTGATTAGAGAAAGCAAAGATGAAGCTGAAGCAGCACAGAGGATTATGGGCCTGTACATGGCTGCCACCTCGGCCTCAGCCACTGCCACGGCCTCCACCACGGCCACGCACACCACCAGCAGCAGCAGCGGCAGCGGCAGCGGTAGAGACAGTGAGAATGAAAGTGAGGAAAGTGGGGAGCTGATAGAGCAGAAGGTGCATTTGAAGGTTGGTAGAAGCAGAGTTGGAGATAGTAACAAGCCACGTGAAGTAAGTTTTCTAGGATTCCAATAAAGATAACTTCGAATCCTTCATGCCTTAACGGTCATATTTATGTAGCTTTTAGCTGACAATAAGTTTTAGATTTAGTTTTAGATTTTATCACATCACATGTTATTATTGCTTTTGGAAATTTGTTAGGCAGAGCATTTGCACTTCATGATTTTTTTTTCCCGATCAGATTTGCACTTCATGATTGATCAGATATGCTTCTTTGGTCATTTAATTTTGTGACATAGCTTTTAGCAGAAAAGAAGTTTTAGATTTGATGAAATCATGAAATATGCTCCTAGATTTTAACCAAAGTTATGAGACCAATGGATGCAATCATATGCATGACATTTTAGTTCCTACTTCTTTAAATTATTAGAATCCAAACCATTGCAATCGTTTTCATTTGAGAAAATGGCAGAAATGAAATTCCACCTAATCAAGAACATTTTCTGACGTATATGTCTGTTTTAGAATCTTGATTAACATAATATTAGAATTTGTCATACTCATGTTAGTAAGTTTCCTCTTCCAGAACATTTAAAGTTTCAGAATTTTCATGCCTTCAGTTAAAAAAGTACTGTCAGAACAATCATAGAAATTATAAGGTGAATTGTCTGTAACTTGCGAGAGACAGATTAAAGGCCAACTTGATGAGTGAATCTAAATTCCCTATCAAAAGGTGATCCATTAAGTCAATATTTTGTTGAAAATTCAGAAAGCAGAGGAGCAAGATTGACATAGAAGGAGTATTAGGTAGACTTTGTCTTTGACAAGTGGAATAATTCAATATAAATACACTACTAGCACTTTCATAGTAAGCCTCACACTATATCTCTTGATTATTCCTTATGATTAATTAATTATTTATAAACCCATAATTTAATATAATAAATTTATATATAAACTGGCTCAATACAAATTTTCTTCTCATTCATAGTGTGAATTCTAGTTTTGTAGACAGGCCATGCCTAAATGTTAGATGCTGGGTCCTTTTCAATTTGTTGGCTATGCACATCAAAGTTGCACTTGTCATGGAATTGTTTGTACTTATCTCCTGCTACTAAATCTTAAGGTCAAATATTTGGGAGAATCTGCAACCACTAATTTGTTTTTTTTTTTCCTGAACTTTCCAGAAATTGCAGAAGAGGGTCAGTTTTATGCCAATCGCTCATCAAGGAGGAAGAGAAATAGTGGTGGCTTCATAACCGCTTAGAGCCATGGAGGAAATTCCAAGTTCTTGCTTCATACCAACCTGAAAGGAGATTTCCTGATGCTTAGTTAAAATAAAGACAGAGTGATGCTATGTATGCTGTTTCCATATGGACCAGTTTGCACTTTTGAATGATGAATAGACAACTTACAGTTGTAAGTAATTGGAAGTCTAGGTATCATGTGTATATAATATAGCATTACTCACTATATGTAATATAATATGTTGGGATAATTTATAAACTCTGTTTTGTTAAATCAATTTAGTGAGATGTTATGATTCATGAATTGACTTTAGATATGGTTAGCTTTAAAAAAAAAAAAAACCAAATAATCTGGATTTAATTCATATTAGACTCCAATTTGAGGAAAACTCTCTTAACATTATTTTTCTTATAAGACACAAATCGAAGGCTATACTTATGAGGTGTTGAGTTTCTTACGATGCAAATGAATGTGTTGCTCATTATACTTTAGGAGGGAGATGGAATGTGAAAAGAATGGAACTTTGGATCCCTATCCACGTTGCTATCCTGAGAGTTGAGAGTGGGGAGGATACTTTCATTTGGAGACCCATTGAAAGATGGCAATTTTAGGGCTTGTTTGTTTTCTGTTGTTAAAAACTACTTTTTTGTTTTTGAAAATTAAAAAAAATTAAAAGCTTATTTAAATAAATGTTTTTCATTTAATTGTTTCTAAAACTGTTTTCATTTTTTTTTCCTCAACATCATTCATTGCAGTGATGGCACTCAGCACCCATTTCATGATGTTATTGCTGAGATTAATCTACTTTCAGGTAGAGATTGGACTGTTACTATTAGTTTCTTGTTAGAGGAGGCAAATTCCTATGCTTACTTTTTAGCTAGTGATGCTCAAGGTCACTTAGGTGTTGGACCATTTTTTATCAACCACACCACCTTATTGTAATAAGATGGTAGATGATGAGAAAAAGTCCTCTATTGATCCTATTTGGAGGTAATATTTTTTTGTTTTTAAGTTTACTTTTCATTAAAAAAATACCAATCCCAATGATAAATATAATTAACTTTTTTAATATTCATCTTACAGCAATCAATTATGTTATCTCATAATAATTGTTTTAGTTTTAAAATACCACCAAACATCTTTTACAAAATAAATGGCGAAACATGAGACACTAATGAAAGGAAGAATTTTAGTTAAATATCACTGTAAAAATTTAATTTTAGGTGGGTTCAAAAAATTTTTAAAATTTTAATTCAGTTTAGGAGAGAAAAGTTTCAAAATCTCTTTACTTATTATGCAAAATCACTAATTGTTAATTTTCTTACTATACTTGTTAATTTACTAATGTTACTTGTAAATTACATCCATTTGTTTAATTTTTTAACTTAACTTGTTAATTTACTAACATCAGTTGTAAATTATAAAACCTATCAATAATTTATAATTATTATTAGTAAATTATAAGATATGTTAGTAATTTACAAATGATGCCAGTAAATTCATAAATAAAGTTAGTAATTTAATAGTGATGTTGCTGCTTATGATTGAACAGTTGATGCTAAGATTTTATATATTTATTGACATGTCAAGTCATATAATTTGTAACTCATATTTGAAAATTAACAAGTAGAGTAAAAAAAATTAACAATTAGTGATTCTGCATAATAAGAGAAGGGTCATTTAATCTTTTCACTGTTGAAATTCTTTTGACTTTTCTCTTCTGAATTGAATTGAACTAAAATTTTAGAATATTTTTGAACTCACTAAAATTAAGTCTCTATTGTGATTCCTAATTGAAATTCTCCCATATTAAAAAGGTGCATTTGGAGTGCATAGTGTATTTTTGGAGTTCTCATTCTCAAGGTTAAAAGGGGAAAAACAATGTTCATTCGTCCATTTTTCAATATAGATAGAAGTTATACTTTCTTTACCTACAGGGATTAGTAATGATATCTTACTGACTAATTTTGTTTACAAAATATATTATATAAATTACGGCCCGTATGTTAATAATGTTTATTTTGACTACAGCAAATAATAACCACACTATCAAGTTGGGTTTGTGACTCTCAGACGCAAAGTCTACAATTAAGAATGTAGCTTTGATTTTGGTTCCTATAATAAAGAAGGAGAAAAAAAAAAGAAAAAGAAAAAGCCATCTTAAAATGTAATTTTAAATTATAAAGTATAAGGAAGATCATGTGCAAGTCAATATAGAAGGCTCATATGTGCACATGTACAAAAGTTGTGCTTGATCCCATTCAAAGAAATTTCTTCTTTTCTGTCATTCCTTATCACACTGACACAGCATGTGCACAAACGAGTGGATTTTTGCTTTCATTGATAACCTCAAGCTTCCGTAAGCAACTCATCTTTTCTCAGTTTAATTAAAACACGTTTCTCCATATATTACATGAAATTTACAGTCACATTATTTATTAATTATAAAAGGTTAAGAGACAATTTCACGCGTAAATTATAATGTTCAAGAATGTTTAATTTGGGATTCTAAATTTATCTTTATTGCAATGTTTCTTTTCAATTTTTAAAAAATGAATATAAAATTACAAAAAAAAGCTTATAAATTATAGAAAATGATCAAGAAAATTGTAAAAAAATACAAAAAAAAAAACAAACAATTTTATTATATTAAGGTGGTGGATGATGAGTGGGGGTTATCTATTGATCCTGTTTTGATATAATCTTTTTTGGTCTCTAAATCCACTTCATGGAAAAAAAAAAAAACCGGCCCTAATGATAAATATAATTAACTTTTTTTAATATTCATCTTAAGGCCATCAATTATGTTATCTCATGACCATTTTTTTAGAGAAACATGCGACAATAATGAAAAAGGGATGGGGGACAAAAAACAATGTTCATTTGTCCATTTTTCAAAATTGATTCAAGTTATACTTTCTTTTCCTACATGGATTGGTAATGATATCTTACTGACTAATTTTGTTTACTAAATATGTTATATAAATTACGGTCAGTTTGCTTCACAAGAACCAATAATGTTTATTTTGACTACACCAAATAATAACCACGTTAGACTAACAATAGTCAGATCTAATGAAAGAACATTCCTTCGCAGTGTGGCAATTTAGAATTCAAATTCTTGCTAGGAAATATACACATATTTAATATATGACAGTAACTTAAACACAATTGATAGTTAACTATAAAATTATAAAAAAATCTAAAAAATATCAAAAAAAATTATTTTTTTTATTTTCTATCAACTAACAGCTAAAATTAATATTTGTTAACAATAAGAACAACATTACATTATTTTCAAAAATTGAAGGAGAATATTATGCCAAAAATGAGTTAATAATCCTAAATGTTCCTAGACATATAATTTAGAGACTAATTTGCCATTTAATCCAATTATAAATTGTTTAACTTATAATGATTTCTATATTCTATATTGATAATGATATTAATCCTTTTTTTTTTTTAACACAAAACACTTAACTTCTACCCAGATTATATCCCACTCTTGTTACTCAAGTTAGTTTTAACGTATTTTTGCGATACCATTGTCTAATATCTAGCATTATTATCTATTAGATTGAATTCAAACTTTATCAACAAGTCCAATTAAGGATAACTTTTTCAAAGTAAAATTTTTCATCCGTAATATTCGAATATCCACTTTACTTATGAAGAATTAAATTCCTTTCCTTCAACTAACTATTCTTGGTTAAACTCAATGCATCTTGACTTCAATTGCGTGATTCTTTGCATCTTGAGTTCTATAATTAATTCCAGTTATACAGGAATTATGAAGTTATAAATATTTTTTTCTTTGTTCAGACTTCAGATTCACCCTTGGATTACATAGACTTTTACTTTTTCTTCCATTCCCACGTGCTCTTGGAATATTTCGCTTTCGATCTTTTTGAAAGACTCAAGCAAGGAATTAAAATATGACAATAAGATAAAAATGTAAAACTTCTTCCAAAACCTACGATGATGGGAATACCGAACACATTAACCTAAAAAAGTAAATAGGAAAGAGAATGTTCAGCTATTTAAGTCAACACACGTCAAAGCTAAGAAGGATCAACCTTTTGATGATATATCAGTTCACCTGCATTCTAACAACCAAGCGACGTGATTATTATTGTTCAATCCTAATTAAAATATCATTAAAACCACATGCATTTGTAGTACTATTCTTAATTCAGAGAAGCCTATTTGTTGGCAATACCTAAAATCTCAATATCGGCATTATTTATTGTTCGGAATGGGAAGTGGGAACAACCCTGAAAACAATATGGAAGAGAAACAAGCAAAGCACAGGGAAAAAACACATCTTAAATCAAAACTCAAGTTAATCAATCATTCTAGTTTGTTATATATCAGTTATTAATTTTAACTTTATTTAATATGAGAAATCTCATGTGGACTTAAATATACTCATTTGGACATCTTAACAAGTACATCTATAAGCTCTTCATATCAAAGATGGCCAAATACCAAGTCCTTAGTCATGCAATCAAGGTGAGCCCAATTTTCAGACTTCAAACAATGCAACACACAAATATCTCTACTGCAATCAAGACCAATCTCATTTTAGACTTTAAACATGTGACATTATCATTTGTTAGAAACTGAGAACAATTGCCTAAAAATAAAAAAATAAGAAAAATATTCAAGTATAATAATAAAATTATATTTTAACTCAAAATCTCAAAACTTAGAATTATAAATCCTATTTTATTATATATTAATTATTAAACTCAATTTTATTAAATGTAAATTTCAATATCATCTTAGGTCCACTGGGACATTGACATCCTAACATTCATAAATCATAAACAACGCATGTCATTGTTTAACATCACACGAAAAAGAGTACATTCAGGGCTACAGTGTGAAGGAATGAATCTCAAAACTAGTGATACAAAAGAAGTATAGAAGGAATCTTCACAATTTCATTGAGCTCGTGTTGAAGAATAAGTTCAAAGTTACAAGACTCTGCCGAGGGATATGTATGAACAATTAATCATATAACGCCACCAACTTATCCTTATTAACCAATCAATGCATTGCATCAGGAAAAATGGGATGATGATGATGATGATACATTTTTATGTACGTCATGAAGACCACTGATCTGGTAGAGTGAGAAAATAGGTAGTCATAGCCTTCCTGAACCTCTTCTTGTACTGCTTAGGAGAAACAATGGTGGGAGCAGCTTTTTTTGGACCACCTAGTATCCCAGTAGCTTTCACCCACGTCTCAAGATGTTTGTCCCATGTATATTGTCTCATGAAGTCAATGATGCCCAGAACCAGCTCCTTACGTTCATCATCCACCCCAACCAACAATGAGTAATCCATGACATCCACGGACTGCATGAAGAATTGAAGAACTTGAGTAACATCCATCCATATAAAATATAAAAACTCTAACAAGTCGCACTGTTCATGAGACATCAACAATGTGACTGGTCCCTCAGATCCCATGTGTAATATATAAGACTCACACTAGTTAAAAGCATAGTATCAAAATCTGGATTAACCCACCGGTTAAACTAGTAAACCATTAAACTAATATCTTAACCAGTTTAATAAAATGCCTTGTCTATAACTAGTCTGATCACGGTTTAACTATGACTTTGACCATTAATCCTTGAACCAGTAGCTTGACCGGTTCATTTTTCAGTACCTTGGTCGAAAATAACAAAATTGCCACAAATGCTGTCAATGTCCATTTCCACGCAGAAGTTTACATTGTTAAAATACGCCTTGTAGATAGTTTATAATCTTCAACATGTTCTCCTACAGAAGTCTTCTGGATTAAAAGTGTAAATTGTGAACAGAACACAGGTTTACTTCATCACATGCCTCTCGATCATTTCATCGTAGAGGCATCATTTATGTCATGTTGACCAACAGAAATAAAAAATCCAAGTAGAAACGGTCTCCACGCCCAAAAAAAAAAAAAAAAAAGGGTCAGGACTCAGAACCATTGTTTGAAAAATTGTTGTTGTGGGAAGTATTCTCAAGACTTCATTTAATAAAACTAGTATCTAAAAGCCCCCATAAAAGCCCTAGCTACAAGACCCTAGCTGTATCAGACATTGAGAACGTTCAACTTCTAAATGCTTTTACTAACATGCCAATGGAAGTAAACAACCTTGAATGTAAAGGGAGATTAGGAAGCCAAAATGAACCATTACTTACCGCCAGAAAGGATGTGTCATTCCAAACGGCTCTTTCAAGACTCCTCTTGGCCTTGCTCCCAAGGAATATGGGTTTGGTTCTTAAGGCTTCCAACAAGTTCATATCTAACATGACTTTGTTTGTCCCAGTTGTATCCGAGTTGTACCTAGATCTCTCTGAGCCCTTCAGATCATATACCCTTGCTATGTTTCTCTTATAAAAGAGATTCTCCATTACCATCACATCAATTTTTGTTTCCTTGCCACCTTTCGGGTATTTGATGCTGACCTGTCACCAAAACAAACAAACAAACAAACAAACAATGAGATGTTAAACTTTAATCCAACACTTCTAAAACTGTCTAAAGTCTACATCACCAAAGCCATGAAGCTTCACCTGATAAATACCAAGAATTTTTGCAAGGCAAGTTGGGCTTCCTGAGTTAATGGATTCTGTCAGATACTTAAAATACTGAGGAGCGAATTCTTCAAAAGAATCCAACTCTGTCTTTGTGACTTGCTTAATAATAAATCTTTCATCCAAAGATTTCGCAAAATATACATTACTTTTGCCTCCTTGTGCCCTCCACCTCCTGCACCGGCTTAGGGACCGTACAAAATCCACTTCATTAGGGCAACACTTTTTTCTAAGCAAGTCAAATTGTTTTGCAAAATAACAAGTGACAGAAAATTTCACTTTCCCTCCAGCAACCAAGGAGTCATCGCCAAAAGCAATTTGCAAGTGTGAGGATTTTTTGGAATCTGAGAGAAGAGTACCAATAGAAGATGGCGCATCTTCAGGCCCATAGTTACTATAATGGATATAATCTAAGTCAATGCCCCAGGCAGAAAAGGTGGAAGCAGCTAAATCTTCCCTGCTTCTCTCACGAGTAATCCAATTTCCATCATGCAGATTCAACTTATCAGTAAGCCAGTCATCATATTTCTTAGAACTAAGGGCATAGGATATTATACTAGACAAATCATTATCATAAACAGCAACAACTCTATCACCACGATGAGTTTGGGAATGCAGTAATCGAACACCTTCAAAGATGTGAGACATAGTGGAGATGAATGTCGGCGTGGAACTTAATATCAGATTTAACTTCTGAGCCTCCCAGGGCAACGTCTGGAAGTGAGTCTCAAAAACATTAGAGAAAGGATCTTTAATCATGCTCCTGTAATCTCCAGAGGCGTGAAAAGATCTAAGTGTCGATAAATGTAAAGAGAGAGCCAAGCTTTTCTTGTACTGTTCCTGAACTCTTATAGCTGAATCAAAAGAATGAAGTCTCAATGGTTGTGTCAATCTTCTAAAAGAGTTATCATTTTGACTTGATAGTTTTATAGATTCAGCTTGGGGACCATCTGCTTCACATATATGAAGAGGTTCAACACTTGAAGTTGGTTGATCTGTTCCAGTCCATGCAGAATCTATTCTCTCAGAAAGATTGGATTTGTCTGAATTTGCTTCCTCTCCATCAGGACGACCAAGTGTAGATGGTTCAGAAGCACAAGGTTTGTCCGCCTCATCCTTCTGTTTGAGCATAAGACTTTCAAAAGGTTCCTGCAATTTCAAAGGATGAAGGTTATTTAATTGAAGACCACTATCACAGATGCAAATTGAAACTGCTCTTAATTATTTAACCTCTGCAAAAGATTTGTTTCCGTGCTTAATATTGGTAGTAGAACTCCCTTTAATAAGAGAATCCAAGTTATCAAGCCGGCGATCCCAAACATGTGAACCAATTAGAAGAGAATGTTTCAAGCGATTTAGTTCAAGAATATCTAAATCTGTCATCCCTGGGTGTGAGGTCTCTGCTGTGGCTGATAGCAGCAAACTCTGTAACCACATACAAAAGATCTAATGATAAACAATATTGATATTGAAGCAACCACATATAACACTTGCACTCTACAAGGTACAATGGACCAACGATCCTGATAAAGTAGTATATTGCATCTATACTGGCCAATATATATATATATATATTATATCTATAACAGAGATATATACATATATATAGTTCGTTAACTCACTTGATAATCATTTCTTTCTTTTCCAAGTATATGTTTCAGCTCTGCTATATGGCTACAAATGTCACAAGAATCGGAACGCTCATTTCCTAGACAAGGAAATGAACTCTTTTTCTCCAAGGTTTCAAGCACATCTGATATCTCACGGTACAAGGTTTCAACATTATTCAAAAGCTGCAGAAGAAAAGGAATTAAATTAAATTTTGTTGCCAAGAAGCAGGGAAAAAAAAAATCAAAACATACACATACATGTTCAGGCAATGTTAACAAAAATTGAAAGTAAATAAGAGAATTTGTATCTTAAAGTAACCTCTCCAGACTCCTTTCTAATCCACTCCTCCTGAGTGTGATCAAATTCCAACACTAATGGAGGCAAATGAACAGAGAGAATATCAATAGGAGAATACCGGAAGAAAACAACCATGCTTCCAAACCTGTTACATCAGTTCATTAATTAATTTTTAAGTGTCAACAATAAACAATAATCTATCAATCATCTGAGTGCTTTACCCATAATACCGAAGACAGTCCCTCTGCAAAGAATGGCCACAGGGTGCAACTCGATTTGCAGTTGCATGGTTTGAGAAGCTTAGTTCCAAGAATTTTCCAAAAGACAACCCCCAAGCAGCATCAGACATAACCACTCTTCGGGTTGCAGGTGGAACTCCATCCTCATGAGGACACTTCAGGCAACGGTGCCACATCCAAATCTTGCCATCTCTTTCCCCAGGTAGCTTCACAGAGGGAAGACGCCTAACATTGATTGTAAGATTTCCTTGCTGGTGTGTATAGCATAGGACATGGGCCTCCACAGGCTCCTTACAAGACCGACAACAAGATGTCTGAGGGAAAACATCAATCAATCATAATCACTTTAGAATTGAGGTGCCAATAACAGTACAACACAACACAACAAACATGAGTTACCTCATCAAACAGGTCATCACGAAGATATCTCCCAAGAGGCTTATCAAAAGAGCCATAGAACTTTATCCGCAGCAACCTTGAGTGCTCACAGATTGTTCCCTTTGATACACAGCGGCTAGAAAAGTACACCAAGATGCTTTGATGACTATCAGTGGCAGAAAAGTATTCACTAGAAAGTTCATCCTCTTCAATATTATCTTTTGTTGATTCAGAAATTTCACCAAACTGCCTATCCTCTTGAACCGTGGATTCTTGCAAGTCTGACAGTGAATTGTTTCTCATGCCATAAGCAGGCATATAGTCCCCATTTGATTCATCACATGGATAAGAATTACCCGATTCCCCTGTCAAATTAGATGTTAAATCATTCTGGCATGCATCGAAATGCATGTTTCCAGTTCTATAATCTCTGGCGCATGCATCAAAAGGAAACTTGATATTATCAAGATATTCGGATGCTGATCCCAAACCCTCAAACTTTAATTCAAGACCCTCTAATTCATCCACTTTAGCCATAGCATCAGTTTCTGATGGGCACATAGTTGGAGTAAGGGTGTCAGACATTACAGACATATTGAAGTCAGTTGTTGACCTCTCTGGCTCAGCCATTGAGTGTTTCAATCTCATTTTAGGTAGGGTTGCACCCTCATCAGCAAGGAAGGATGTCTCCAGTGACAAATGATAGGCTGCAAAAACTGCATATTGAGCAACATGTTTAATTTTCTTTAGATCTTCACGGCATGCACCTTTCAGTAAGACCTACAGCGAAACAAAATCAGAAACTGTTATTACCACACATCTTACTCAATCATTGCACATTATTTTAAGTGTAACTTGAAGGAATTTTGAAGGAAAGAATGTAACAGAAAGAACTAGAAATAATCCTTGATAATGAACTAAAAATTGATAACACAAACAAGAAAGTAAGCAATTACCGTGCAACCCAAACGTCTAGGGCAACCATCAAAAAACATTAAGGTCTTTGATGACTTTTTGTTTAACTGGTTGCCAGTCTCATGATCTTCTACCATTCTATCTAACCGGAACAGCTCACAGTACCCCAATCGTGCTTTAGATAAACTGTCCACTGATGGAGTGATAAGTGCACCAGTGCAGCGGGCTATGCGCTCCAACAATGGCTTTTTAACATTCAACACCAATGAAATTTCCTTCTCCAGTAGATATTCCAGGGCACATGGAGCTACACTTTTTTCCACCAGCAAAACATTAGGCCGGAGAGCCTCAATTTTTGAAATAATTATTTTTAAATGATCATTTTCCTGCCAGATTTTACAAACATCAGAAATAAATAAATAAATAATTTCTCTCCATGAAAATTGAATGTAAGGAATTCCATAATTGAATCAAGAAAGTACCTGCTGCAACAAAGTATCAAAAGAAGCCAGTTGATTCGGAACTTTCTGAAATTCCAATGCTCCTCCTAATAGAAGCAATCTAGGCTTTGTATATTGTGAGGTCATGCGCTTATGCTTTATATTTTTTGTGCAAGCTACTCCTTTGACAAGGGTGCTGTAAGCACGAAAGTCCACAATTTAGCAGTCAATCACAAAGAATTGCACAGGAAAATATTTTGTTGGCAAAGTTTCAATCACATAATACCTCTCATTTGGACTTCCAGTTGCTATACATTTAACCTTTACATAATCACCAGGATCCATACTACCTCCTTTGCTAGTATCTGGTCTAACATAGTTAGCAGCTTGCCAAGCTAATGTTGCAACTATGTCAAGCCAGTCTTCAGAACCATCTTCCTTACCAACTTTGATACCCTCTCCCTGTAAAAGCTGTAAAACAAGAGCTCTAAAATGACCCTGTATAACAGCTTTTAGTGGTTCTCTGTTTCCCTCGTTTTGTTTCTCTTTTGCAGAAAAAGCATTAGTTAGGCTGCTGTTGGATGAGAACAAGGCACCTGAATCACCAACATCATCATCCTCATCATCATATGGAAAGAAAGTATCTTCTGCATCATCATTCTCATCATCAGGTGGAGGGGGGAACCAGATAAGACCACTGTTTTCGAAATCCAATGGCCTCTGAGAACTCTCACTTTGGCTCCGAAAAATTGACAAGTCATCAGAGAAATAACCAGTACTATATGCATCCTCCGTCCCTTGTTCAGGCTTTCCTAAAACAGCCGTAGTTTGTTTCTCAAAGGGACCATCATACTGAGAGATGGGGATCCTCTCTTGTCCGTGCTGTACAGGAAGCCCAACCCTACAGGAAGTAAAATCAATCCTAGAAGGGCTCTCAGAAGGAGACTTATTGCTGTAAGTCTCATTTTTAGCACTAACACTACTAGTATCTATATCCGAATCATTATGGCAATATGTACTTGAATGGCTGAAATGGTGCTTCCCAAAATCCTCAGTCCCATCTTCATCGCTCCTGCAGGCATACACATGCTTTCAATAATTTATGCTAAGATTGTAGGGGGGTGGGGGGAACTTGAATTAAGCATTATGCCTTTATTAATATTTTGGGTGTCATTTACTAAGAGAATGTTTGCAGTAGCAATTATCATTATTCAGACCTGCAGTTCATTCTCACAAAACAAAGCACATCATGTTGAAGCAATTTCACCAAGTTTCTAAATGACGAGCCAAAAGACAAATAAAAAACAGATAGCTATCCTCTAATGAAGACCAAATGTGATTACCTGCCCGCAGATTGATGAGTAGACACTGAAGATGCAAGAGCACCAGATGAGTCCATACTCCCCTGGAGATAATACCTAAAATCTTGGTCTTGAAAATAGCATTCAAAATGATTTCCCTTCTTCAAATTACAAATCATAGGAGAACTGGTTCTTTCACTTTGAGCACTGAAACATGGCGATGGCGGCTCAGGACTTTGCCGGGGAGTCTCTTGAGGAGAGGCTGAAGGATGCACTTTCTCAACATACTTCCTCTCACCTTCATACTTCCTATCATCACCAGAACAGAACTTGCAAGAATTGACAGTTTCCCTGAATTCCAGGTTATCAGATTGAGAATCAGGGATATCAGCAACTCGCATACATTTCCCACACAACCAGCGGCCACAGCTTTTGCAACTGTACTTGTTTGTCATTTCATTGAGGTTTCTGTGACACTCACAACACATTTCTCTGCTGTTATTGAGCATATCACTTTTGACTGACAAAACTTGTAAATCACTTCCTCCCCAAGAAACCCAAGACATCACCTTTTCTATTAGATCTAGTAGTGAACTATCAGGTATTCCCATAAGATGTAATCGCCCAACAGAGAATTCAACTAGTGCCTCAAAACAAAACAAAAAAATGTTTAATCTACCTCTTTTTTCTCCTCTTTGAAACTCGAGTATAGGACATTTTCTTTAACAAAACCAAATGAAAAAATATATATATATATATATATATATCCTTTGGTACGGGAAAACTAATTGCTTTAAGTGTCTAAAAATACAAAATATGTAATGAGTAACGCTAGAAACCCACGATAAAATTGGGGATGACAAAAATTATCTAAATCAGATTCCTAATGCTTCTTTTTTTTTTTCCTTTTTTTTTCTTTTGTTCTTTTTGGGAATTTTGAAAAGTTAAAAATAGGAGCAAATCCTCCAAGATTCAAATAATATCAAAGGAGGAATCGACGACGAACGACCAAGACTCACCAATCTAAAATTATTTACACCAAAATCCTGACATGATAACGAAAACCCACAAAACAATTTCCACTATTACAGTAAAGACCTGAAATTTCTCGAAACCCAGAAATCGCAAGTTCGAATGCTAATGACCCCACTTATCAACCGATCACTGATTCATCAAGGAAGCATTCAGAAATCGGTTCTGGCATTACCCCATAAGAAACCACAAAATAAAGATGACCCTTAATAGAAGATAAGTTTATCTTTTCGCGCAAACTAAGAAGTTGAAGCCTTTAATCTGAAACAGGAAAACAAGACGAAGAAAGAAGAAGAAGAAGAAGAAGAAGAAGAAGAAGGTAATAGTAGTTTCAGGAAACAACAACAGATAAAAGAATGATGGAAGAAGAGAAGGATGAAAGTTTAATTAGTGGGAAGAATGAGAATCAAAAGGAGAAAGAGAAGAAGAAGTACGAAGAAGGTTCCCTTTCCACCGGGAGTCAGCTCGCATCTCAAACAACACTTCCTTCATACCCATCTTTCCCGGCCTCACTCCTTCCCCTTTTATTTTTCTTTTCTTTTCTTTTCCTTTCCTTTCCTTTCACCCACTCTTCCTTCGCTCGCCTTATTATTATTATTTATTGATATTATTGATAATTTATTTTATTTTATTTTCACAATAAGAATACGTTCAACATTCTCTCTCCTCTATTTCTCCATGGGAAAATCACATAGAGGTGCCCCCAAGATTTTTAATTATTAGAAAGTCTCATGAAACATAAAAATAATAATTCCAAAATCTGAAGTCTTTAATTGTAAATAAGTTTTGATATGTATTTACCAAAATACCATTATAGCTGAGTGCCTGCTTGTATTTGCCCTTTTAATCAATTATTGCAAGAAAAATTATGGTTTGGATAAAAATACCTAAACATCCCATTTGGTCCATAATTGATTATTTAAGTATTAATCATGTTTCAGAATAAGATCTAAGCTATGAATGCCCTAATTCAAGGAGCTTCTTACGTTTTTTACTTATTGCCTTGCTTGTGACTCACCTCTCACTCATCTCCTTACCTTCTTTCACGTCCAATTGTTTACCATCATCACTACCCCTCCTTTTGCTCTCTCTTTTTTTTCATTCATCAATCTCATTTTCTCTCTTTTTGATTCAATTAGGATTGAATTTGCTCTTTGCATTGTACCTAATGATATAAATTTGTGTTGAAGCTGAATGATGCATTTGGGCCAATTTAATTGTTCATTTATAAACAATAAAGCCAACAATGCCAATAAATGGGGAAGATATGTTTTTTTTTAATTTTTAAAATAAGGACATTTTGGTAAATACAATCTAAGGCTTTTTTACAATTAAAAATCGTGGGACTTTAGAGATATTTTACATTTTGTGAGATTTTTAAATAATTAGAATTCTTGTATGAGATCTCTGTGTAATTTGCCCTTTCTTTTTTGAGATATCCTCTCCTCTTTTTTTTTTTTAAACAATAAATGATGATGATGATGATTCCTTCGTAGTTGTCATGGAAAAGTGGATAAAATATTGGATTATTTTAATGCTAAAAAATATGCATCTTCCCTCATTGGTCACAATGGGCATGCTTAACCAGATTTAATAAATCATGAAATCGACTTATTGGTTAATTAATCTCTATTTGGACCTTTTTCTAAGTTTTAATTTTAATTTGCTGGTTTTGATCTATCTACAGGCTCCCTGTTCATAGGTCAGCATCAACCGAATAAACCATAAACAGATCTCGACTTTTTTTTTTTGGTAACTTCTGAAATTTATAATAAACAAAATATCCATCACCAAGAAATCAATATTATCACCAATATAATATATAAATTTATAAAGTGTAATCTTTTGTTTATATTTATTTTCTCTATTTTTTTCTGAGTTTCAGGCGATTTTATCTTTTACTTTTCAAATCTTTTTCACATATGTTAAAAGAATTTAAATAATAAAATTAAGTATACTTTGAAAAAAAAATTAAATTAATATTTTCCCCTATGCATTGTAACGATTAAACATAACTAGCTTTATAAAAATATAAATACATGTGAGCTTTGGAGCGACTACAACACATTCATTGCTCGAAGGGATAGGTGGAGCGGTTAAATTCTTTTCTAACCAGTTAGTACATTGTGTGGTAAACGTTTTAAAAGCCATGTCTCCTTTTTGATAACAAATTAAAAGCCATGCCTCTGTGTTACAAATATTGCACATATTTATTTGCTTTTATAAATCATAAAGGCTTGAATTTTTTTTTTGGTGAAAAAAAAGGCTTGAATATTGGTTTCTACTTAAACTCTATCTATTTTTGCATTTTTTTCTTACGTCATATAACTAAAGAAAAATAATAATAAAATTTTTTTAAATTATATAAATGACAATTTGATCCTTTAAAATGTTATAATTATATCAAAATCTTTAAGGATCTTTTTATCAATAAATTTTACTTTTATTAAAAAATTATAATTTCTTGTTCAATTCTTACTATTCTTTGAATAGAAGTTGCAATTATTTAAAAAAAAAGGTGTAAATAGGGTTTGTTATTTTAAAAACTTATTTTTCAATAATAAAAATTACACTAGATAAATTATAATTTCTTATTTAACTCTTACAATCACAAAATAAAAGTTATTACTCCCTCTATTTAAAAATGTAAGGCATTTTTAACTGAATCTCACCCCCAATAAGGCAGTTACCTACTTTTAACTAACTCTGTCTTTTTATATTTACCCCCATTAAACACCCTACAATAAATATAAAGTTATTCATCAATAAGGGTACTTTTAAAAAAGATAATAATTACACCTCAAAAGACTAAAAATACCTTACATTTTTTAACATCTAACTCTTCAAAAAATGCCTTATAGTTTTAAACGGATGGAGTATTCTTTAAGCATTTGTTATAATTGGAGTTTATTTTTTAATAACAAAAATTATACTTGACAAGTTATAATTTTTAATTCAACTCGTGCAATTTATGGATAAAAAATTATGATTTCTTAAATAAAAGTTGTGGTTATTGCTTATTATTTTTAATAAGGGTAAGATGATTTTTATACTTTAAAATTTATTGACACAGAGTTTTTAAGGACTTCATGAGAATTATAGCATTTCAAATGATCAAATTATTATTTATATAATTTAAAAAAAAATTTATAATCATTTTTCCTATAACTAATCTTGCAATTTGAATTAACGTCGGATGACTATCTCACTCATATTAATAGCTTAGTATTTTAAAAAATATTACATCAAAATATATTGTATTATTAAATTTCACAAGTAACACACACACACACATATTTTCTAGCCACCAATATATATTTTCTCTTGTCCTATTTATTTATAGAATAGTGAGAGAAAATTTTTATTTTATTTACAAGTTATATCATTAAATTTTCATTATAAATTTCTCTTTTTATCTTCCATTAAATATTGGAGATAAAAAATATGTGATTAAAATATGTATATTTAATGAGAATAAAGTTAAAAATTTATTAAATTTTTTAACAGAATTAATAATTTTTAATTTTTTTTAATTTTAGTAAAATATATTAAAAGTAATTCATAAAAGCAAATGAAAGCCACACTTGTAAAATTTCGAACCGTGCAGCTTCCTGTATTGCATAAGATTGGTGATCCAATATTAAATTTAGATATTAATAAAATCAGGATAATATTAAAAAACAACACGACAAATTATGTCTCTTTTGTACTGGTATTAAAAAAAAAAATTGTGTCCCTTTTTTAAGAAGTAATTTTCAAATGTGTATACTTGCGCATGCGCTTGCGTATGTATTTGATTGTGTATGGGTGTGTACTTTTCTTGTTATTTTTTTTTTCCTTAAAGTCCCTTTAAAATAATCATTCATAAGAATATTAATTTGGTAAAATAATTGCATTTAATTTATGTTTGAATGATACAATTAACTGTGAACTTAATATTTTATTTTAAGAAATTTAAATACTACTATACAAATATATTTAAAATGATAATCTAACAAATGCATATGTGTATAGTAATTACAAGATATACACAAGGGATAATGAAATTTTCAATCCTTCAAGTTTACCTCAATTATTGATTTGATCCTTCAAGTTTAATTTATATTAATTTGATCATTTATGTTTTTTTAAATTATCATATTAGTCCTTTAAGTTTTAAAATATAACTTAACTTTCAAATAATCCAATGTGTAAAGTATATATATATATGACTTGATAAGTGTATGTAACTAAATGTGAACAAATTAACCCTTACATCAATTTAATTTTTATCAATGTAATCATTTACACTATCTTTTGTTTTCTTGTTTTAAAATTTTTAAAGTATATATGTTTTTTCCCTAACTAATTAACTCTTATCTTAGGCTTTTGGGTTCATTTGAACTAGCCTAAAAACCTAAATTTTTAAATATAATTTTATTTTATTTTCCTTTTTTTGAGCCAATTTCAATTTTTTATCTTTAAAAAATTAAGATTTGTCAAGTAACATAACATTAAAATGAACCTTTTTTCTACTCTTATTAAAGTGAAGACAAGATTTGTTTGAGCTTATAGTATTCGAGATTTGGCCTAGATTTCTTTAGGCCTTTTTGGGTGGCCTGAATAAAATCAAAATAAAGAAAGTTTTTAAAACTTCTAAACCCAATTTTAAGATTTTTCAAGCTTATTCGCGCTAGCTCATTAGCAACATCAAGCTTGTCATAAATTGTTAGCTCTATTTCTAAGCTCCTATCATTATTAGCTGCATTTCTATATTAGTTTGACACATTGTATGGGGGGAAATTAAGGAGTAGATTAAGGAGACCCATCTCGCATCATTGAGCTAGAAGATGTTGAGTTACAGGAGAACTTAACCTATCAAGCTGAACTAGAAATGACTGTTGATGTGAAAGAGAAATGGTTGAGAAACAAGACCATTTGCCTAATGAAGGTGATATGGAAAGGAATGACTCTTGGTAATACTATTTGAAAAATTACGGAGAAGATAAAATAGTTATACTCTCATTTGAATCAATAAGGTATATATTGTTGTTGGTTGTTTGAATTTTGAGAACAAAATTCTTAAAAGGAAGGAAGAATAGTGACATCCCAAAAAAGTTTTCTCTAATTTATTAAGCTAAGGAAGGATAATTATGTAAAATTAAATATAATTGAATTTGAGGATAGTTAAAGAGGGCTAATAGGCCTTTTGGGATTAGGTTTAGCCTTTGAATTGTGTTTGGAAGTGAACTAGATCACCTTGGTTCAAATTGTAATGTTGAGAATCAGCTTTTTAAAAAACGTAGAAAACATTTAAAATTGGGGGGGGGAAGACAAACAACAAGGAGGCCAACAAAGAGTGTATTTTCTCTGTTATGACATCAACTTTTAGAGATTTTAGAGGTAATTGGAGCTTAATTTCACCTACATATGCCATGTTTCTCTCTTCATCTCTCTACACATTTTAGAAGTAAGATTTGGTGTTGGAAAATGTGGATTTTTGGATCTAGGATTATGGGTCTAAACCATTGGTCTAAATAAGACTAACGAAAATTGTTTAAATATTCTACATAT